TGAAAACCACTCCACAAATATTTGTTGAGTGCTATTCAGTGTTGGGGGGGAGGATATGAAAACTGAGTTTTCAAGGACAATTTGATAAACTTTCCTGAGAATTTAGAATTTGGCCAGTGAAGCTCCCTTTGCTGCTTCTGGCTGACCCTTGTGAATATCTGTTTCTCTCCTTTCACTTCAGGGACTGAAGCCAATTTTCCGATCAGAGAGATGGAGATGGTTGATTCATTTAGGAAAAGGCAACACTGAACTTAAAAACAGATTCTTAAAGAAACATTCAACTTTCCTTATTTAAAAACTTCTTGTAGAAAGAAATAAAGTTCTTTCAGTGTGATGATGCAGATGAACCATGAATACAGGAGATTTGGAAGTTTAGTCTTTAACATTTATGTATGACACATGGGAGAAAATGTTAAATGGTGAAAATGACTCTGGCACCACCATCACTCATCAACTAGTGAATGTTCTGACCACATGCGCTGAGGACAATTTATTATACAAATACACACAATGCTAGACGTTGCCTATGTGAATGTTCTGGGGTGTTTTGTCTAAGAGCACTTGGACTCATCTTCTCATCTGCTTCTCTTTTGTTTGGAGCTCTGTGTTATAACTGGAACATTAACAGGTGGAAGAGCTGACTACTTTTACAAATAATTGTGTTCTCTAAGCCCCACTGTAAAACACAGGCTAAACCATAGGTCAGATGGTGTGCTGGTCAAAGTTCTCAGCCGATTTAACTTCATTTTCCTGGTTCCATCATTAGGTCCTTCCAATTCACTGTTCAAGAAACATTCAAGAAATGATAAAGGTACCAAAACAATTAAAACATGAGTGCTTATTGGGCAGACAGTGTAGAATGATGGACCAGCCAAAAGGAAGCCTGCCAAAGAATGGCATTGCTGTGCCCTGCGACACTCTGGGTCCTTCTTACCTGTCTTTATTACTTAGGCACACATCTCAAACGCAGCCCTGGTAGATGGGGTTTTTCTGCCTGGTACAACTCACTTGAATTCCCAGACCAAAAAAGCAACAACATCAGCCACATTCATTCACCACTGGGAGCTCTTTGCTAAGCAATTTTCATGCAGTGTGGCGTATCATTCAGTCCGTCTGACAACCCTTTCATAGATCAGGAAACTGTGGAGCGGGTGGAGTGCTCGTCTTGTAAGTGCTTTACGACATAATAATGGGATCACCAGGTAACCTTTCTTTGTGCTCTGTGTACCTTGCACATACCTGGGCGTATTGGCTTGTCAGGTTTCCTTTACCTGTACTGTTTTCATACACCAGTATCACGTGAACTCCTTAAGGCCTTTCAGCATCCTCATCACACTTAGACTAATACCAGGGAGATACAGGCAGACCTTGAAAATACTGTGGATTTGGTTCCAGACAGCCTCAACAAAGTGAAAAAGCAAGTCACGTGAATTTTTTGGTTTCTAATGCATATTAAAGTTATGTTTACGCTATAGTGCAGTCTGTTAGGTATGCAATAGCATTATGTCTAAAAGAATGTATATCCCTTAAAAAATACTTTATTGCTAAAAAAATGCTAATCATCATCTGACAATGCAGGGTTGCCACAAAGCTTCAATTTGTAAAATCCATAATATCTGTGAAGCGCAATAAAATGAGGCATGCCCAGATATAGTGGATGCTTGGCAAGTGTTGGAAATGCTTTGTAATGAATTTTGTGGTTGTTGAATGTTTTAGGTTGGAGAGAATCCAGTCTTATTGGACTAGCTTATCTCACAATCAGCAGCCAGTTGCTTAATTAATAGTCTTCATTTGCTCAGCCTTGTGCTGGGTCCACAGCAGGTGCAAAAGAAGTAACCCTTTCTTGTACTCTTGAGGAGCTGGTATCCACTCTTAGACCTAAAGACACCTAGGGGCTTCCCTGGTGGCGCAGTGGTTGAGAGTCCGCCTGCCGATGCAGGGGACACAGGT